CCCTTCTGCTTCAAGCCAACCATTCCCATTTCCTTTAACTGAACATCAAATGGCATGGTCTCAAGGCCCCTCAACACCTACAGAATGCTCTCTAGTTTATCAACAGTTTTCTTATAATGTTGCATTCACCTTTAAATGTGATATTTCAAATGTTGTCTGACCAGTGCTGAGTATAGAGAAATTATATCACTTCATTCTGGACACTGTACCCCTCTTAGTCCAGCCTAACACTGCAATAGCATTTGTGGCTATTTTTCACACTGTTGATTTGCACCTAGTTGGCATGTAATCCACTAAAAAAAAACCCATATCTTTTTCAAATTAACTGCTTTCTAGTCATACCCTATCCATCTTGGAACTATGGCATTGAATTTTTCAGCTCAAATGTAAGGCCACGTTTACATTTATTTATTTTTAATTAACTTTTTTTTCTTTCCCTGGAGAGCAGTTTTGGATCTTTAAAAGCATGGAATGATTGATTTCCCAGATGAAATCCAGCTCACTCTCTTCCTCCTATTCAGTGTCTATCTGAAATAGATATGTGTGCTTATGTGCTAGCTTAGTATACATAATACATTAGCTCATTCCAACCAAAGATCATAGTCTAGAAAATAGACATTTTTCTTTTCTTTTTCACATATGCAATGTTAAGATGATCTCTTTTCAGTAATCAGAGATATGATAGGGGAGGGTGTGTAATTTTCTGGGGCTTGACACAGTCAGCAGTGTCACCCATAAGCAGGAATGTCTAGCCCAGATAACCTCAACTTCTAGAGGGCCTCCTTCCATTTGAACCTCATAGAAGAGGGCCTCAATTACAGTGGAAAACTTCCTTAGTGAGCATTATTTTATGGTTTGATTAAAATTGGAGGATTATTGAACAAAGTTATTTCTATGGTTGCCTTGGCAAATAAGTCTTGTATAATCCTCGTTGGGGAGCTTTTAAGGCTGCATTTTACTTAATTTTAAAAAAAAAAGTCAGCAGAAATCTATATTCTCTAAACCTTTCAGTCAATTGTGTGACATATCTTACTCATCTTAATTCCCAACCTTGACCTCAGAGGTCTGTTGATGAAACAGATCTCCCTCCTCTCAGTAAAGAGATCATAGACAATGAGTGCAGAATGAGACATATTTTCTTGGATATGGTTTTCTTTAGCTGTATTTATTTATTATAAAGGAGGCTTCTGTTAAGTGGAGTTATTGAGAATTTACTGTGAAGTTTAAAGATACCAATGAACCTTTTATATACAGTTGGTCTTCATTATGTGTGGATTCTACATTTGCAAATTAGCCTACCTACTAAAATTTATTTGTAACCCCAAAAATCAATATTCACTGTGCTTCTGTGGTCATTCACAAAGCAGTGAAAAATTTTAATTACTAGGGGAAGCTAGGTGGTGCAATGGATAGAGCACTAGTTCTGGAGTCAGGAAGACCTGAGTTCAAATCTAGCTTTAGACACTTGACACTTACTAGCTGTGTGACCCTGGGCAGGTCACTTAACCCCGAATGCCTCTCAAAAAAAAATTTAATTACTCAACATGGATTTTCCCAGCTGAGGTCAAACAAGTCAATACTCTGCCTTTCTGTTTCAGCTCTCATATGATAAAAAGAAAAAAAAGTGTTCTTTTCATGGTCTATTTAGTGTCATTTTCCACATTTTTATGCTTTTTGTTGGTAATTTCACAGTTTAAAATGTCCCCCAAGAGTTGTGCTGAAGTGCTGTCTAGTGTTCCGAAGCACAAGAAGGCCGTGATGTGCTTATCCGGTGTGAGATAAGTGTTCAGGCATGAGTTATAGAGCTGTTGGCTATGAGTTCAATGTTAACAAATGTATAGTAGATTTATAAAAGACACCTATTCCTTTCTCATTTTCAACATGGATACCCTTGATATACAGGTAGGTCATTCTCATAAAATTTTCTTTAAAATTATAAAGTTAGGTTGGTAGCTTTTGACTATCTCCTGATCAACATTTTTGGATTTTAATATAATTGGGGTTTTTTCATTCTTTTCATATCTTTTTTTCATGAATTTGTCTTACAAAGAATGTTGGTTATGTAAACAAGAAAGAACTATTGGGCCATAAATTTCTAGGAATTGTGAACACATATTTTTTTGCAACACATGTAACCTACATGTGTGCTTTACCATAATAAAATAAAAGGTACCACCTCTGATGTTATTTTCTTAACTCCTACTCACACTGATGGGCAGAGCCCTAAGAGGAAGGCAATAGATTGCTAGATTTGAAGTCAAAAAGACCTGTGTTGAATCCTGGTTCAAATACTTACTAGCTCTATGACTATAGGCAAATTACTTAAACTCTCTTAGCCTCAGTTTCCTCATCTATAACATGGATATAATTATAGTACCTGCCTCACAGATATTGTGATGATCAAATAGGATAATAGATGTAAAGCTCTTTGTAAACCTTAAAGTGCTAAGTAGGTACTAGTTATTATTACTAGCTTTATGCTACCTGTCTCAGGATTCTAGGGTCCTGAGCCCTTACCTGCATACACCACATTGATAATCAGTCAACAAATTAGATTTTAGCCAAGGTATTTATTAGTGTGGTAAATTAAGGATAATTGGTACAAACATTCCCCCCAAAAGCCTAGGGGTAAACTTTCCACCAAGCCACATGGATCCATGGAAAAAGTGGATTCAAACTTACCATGACTAGGGAAGTAACAATGTCTCTATACTCTCTCCTCTGGTCAGACCACATCTAGAGCATTGTGTTTGGTTCTGGCTTGCACATTTTGGGAAAGACATTGACAACCTGGAGGTGGCCCTTATGAAGACAATCAAAATTGTGAAGAGCCTCTAGTTTGTGCTATTTGGAGATTGGTTGAAGGAACTGGGAATGTTTGAACTGGATAAGAGAAGACTTACTGGAGACATAATCTCTTTCTCTTTGAGTATTTTAAGGACTGCCATTTGGAAGATTGTACTCATTCTACTTAGCCCCATAGGGACAACAATGGGTGAAAATCGCAAAAACTACCAAATGACACTACCTTTCTTCCATCACCACCGCTACCACTACCACCACCCCAAAAACAAAACAACAACAACAACAACAAAAACCTTTCAACAGTTAGACCTATCTACGAGTAAAATGAGTTGCCTCAAAGGTACTAGGTTTCTTCTCACTAAAGGTCTTCAATCAAAGTAAGATTTTGTCTAAAAAAAATAAAACGTTTGCAACATTCCTCTAATCTACTAGACTAGCAACATTGTAAAGGGGGGAAGGAAATTAGTTTAATCTGCCATGTCTTCATCTTCATGAAGTCATGCTAGCTCTTAGTGATTGCCACTTCCCTTTCTAGATGGCCACTAACCATCCATTTAATATTACATCCTACTTGTATATGTTTCAAATCCTGCTAGTGGACTTCATGCTTAGTGATGGCAAATACCATCCCTTCTGTAAATGTTATTTCTTACATTCTGTATACAATAGGGATTTAGTAATTATTTGTTGAAATAAATTAAATCAAATCAAAGATTCTTGTCCTTGAGGAACTTACAACCCTGTTAAGAAGACAAAACTAACCAGAGAACGTTGAACAAGAGAAAATAATATAATAGTGTTACATTATGTAATGTACATTATATATGTTATAGGAGTTCAGAGGAAAGAGAGTTCAATGAGGGTTAGGGTAATCATAGAGGTTTCATTAAGCAAGTGGGTCAGGATCTGGATCTTAGAGTATGAGCAGAATTCAAAGGGGTAAGAGAGAAGCATTCTAGTTTGGGGGGACAACATAATGAAGGCACGTAGGTAGGGATGAATAGATCTGTTTTGGGAACTGCACAAGTACTCCACTCTCATAGAGAAGTTACATATTAGGAAGTAGTAGAAAATAAGATTTGATAAAGAAAGTGGGCTCACATTACTGAGAGCCTTGGAAGCCATACAAAAGAGCTTCAATCTTCTGCTTTTGCGTTTGGGCATTGTGCTTTTCCATTAAAATAAAAGAGTAAATAGATAGAAGGGTACCCTAGAAAAAGGTAATACATTAAGCCATTATCAGCCATTTAGTCGTGAATCATTTTAAGTTTATTTAACAGCTCCCTGATGAAATAAGAAACAGGAGAATATAGAGACAGTGAGTCTATATTGTTTTCCCATAATGAGCCCTAGAATCCAGGGGCAATGGGAAGCAGGGAGGAGATGGGGGAAGGAATAGGCATTTATTTAGTGCCTACTATGTGCCAGGCTCTGTGAGAACTTTACAAATATCATCTCACTTAATCCTCACAACAGCCCTGGGAGATAGGTGCAGTTATTAAACTCATTTTGTAGTTGATGCTACTGAGGCAAACAGAGGTTAAGTGACATGCCCAGGATCACACAGCTAGTAAGCATCTGAGGCCAGATTTGAACTCAGTCTTCCTGACTTCAGACTCAGTGCTCTATCCACTCCACCACCTAGCTACTCGATGTGCTTCAGGGTGGGAGGGGGATTGGGAATAGAAACGGGGTACTCCAAAAGAAGGAACAGGGTCAGTAAGAGGACAAAGACAATGCTTTCACAATTTTGCCCAGGGCTAGCCTGGTTCATGTTTATAATCCTTCCTCTATCTCGGGATTCTGACAGTCCTAATAAAATTCTCATTAGCACATATTAGGCCTTTATTCAATACCTGGATATACTGTGTTACCCCTGAATCATAAGCAAGATGTAGGGAATTGATTGGGACTCCCTCTGCTATGATTTCAGACAAAGGGTAAGGGAAATGTCCTCATTCTAGGTTCACTGATATCATTCTAGAATCTACTGGAATCATGAGAATTGGGAATCCCATAGATTCCCTTGCACTCTTTTTCCATAGGTCTTTCAAAATTGATCTGAAACCATTATATTTGATTCTCTCCAGAACTTGGACAAGACCCTCTGATCTGCAAGGGAACAATAAGGACTTCCCTAGAGAACGGTTGCTGTGGAACTGGAATAGGTGTGTCCTCTGTGTGTGTGTGTATGTGTGTGTGTGTGTGAGTGTGTGTGTGTTTTATAGCTGCTCGAGAAACTTGGGTGACAGCCTTCTCTTTACCCGCCCATTCGGGGAGAGATTAAAGCCACTGAGATTGGTTGTCCCATTCTTACTTATTGAAAACTACATCTTCACTGCCACTGAAGCCTCGGGTTACAGACAGGACACAGGAAAGGTAAGTTCAAAGTATGACTTATAAATCTAGATGCCCTGAGTTCTGCTGGCTTGGGGTGGGGGGAGAATAGGTAAAAATATGGTAGGGGGGCATATATATACACAAACATATCTGTGTATGTGTATATGTATAGATATATACACACATATATATGTATACATAATATATAGCAGCTCTCAGTAGAAAAATATTATCCTCCCTAAATGAACATGGAATTTTTTTCAGATTGGTCTTGATACTCAGTCATAGCTCAGACTCCCTAAAAGCAGGTACCAAACTGAGCATACAGTAGACATTTAACAAATATAAATTGAATTGTACTGAGATGAACAATTATTGATAGATTTTGGAAAAAACTTCTCTTACAAATCATGTATGTGTGATAACCAGAAACTTCAAGCAGTATTGAAAATATTCCTGTGATCTCAAATTAATGTCAGGAAAGATGGATCAGGAGCAAGATATAACAGGAAAACCGCTCCAGGTACAAAGATTCTCCTTCCTATTTCATGAAAAACTCAAGGTTTTATGGAACATTCAATATGACAAGTTCAATGAAAAGCATGACATGGATATGATCCAGTTAACCTGGAGCCCCATCAATGAAATCTTTTTTGGTTTCCCATTTGAAAGGGACAGATTCTTGCTATTTGGGGGGCATTTTTCTCTTTCCAGTCTTTACCATCACATTTAAATGAGTTTTGTAATATTACGTGCTATTATATTTGACTGTCTGTAGGTGAGATGTCTGCTCTTTGGTCCAGAGCATGCTTATACCTTTTGGAGTCTGGTTGCTTTTTTGCGTATTTGTTTTCCCAGCAGAAGAAAAAATTAAGCTAAGTCGGTATAAATACTTTTCAATCTTGGTTCTCTCACTGATGATTTTAAAAGTTTTCACATCTTAGCTCCCACATTGTTGTTGTTGTTTTAATTTGTTAATAGAAACCCATGACTAACTAACTAGCAGCCATTCTTTGGGGGTGAAGAGCAACTCTATATCTCCCTCAAGTTTGACTGTCACTATGTTTCTGCAGGATTCTCTGAGAAGAATATTCTATTTGGTGCCACTCAGGTGTCACCATGTCTTCGGACTGCTTTGAGACCACCAATGACTACTATCTCCTCTGTAACACCGAAGAAGCATGGGGCATTGTTCTAGAGTCACTGGCAGCCATAGGGATTGTGGTAACAATTCTGCTCCTCCTGTCACTTCTCTTGCTCATGCACAGAGTTCAAGATTGCAATCGATGGAGTATCCTTCCCACCCAGTTTGTCTTCCTCCTGGGTGTGCTGGGTCTCTTCAGTCTCACCTTTGCCTTCATCATCAGACTCAATCTACAGACTGGCCCTGTGCGCTACTTTCTCTTCGGTGTCCTCTTTGCTCTCTGTTACTCCTGCCTCCTGGCCCATGCTTCTAATCTGGTGAAGCTTGTCCGGGGGAGAGGCTGTTTCTCATGGCCAACATTACTGGGCATTGCTATTGGTGTCAGTCTGTTACAGATCATCATTGCCATCGAGTACGTCACCCTCGTGATGAACCGAGGTCCAATGTTTATATATATGACCCCAAATCAACTCAACGTAGACTTTGTTGTGCTTTTGACCTATGTTCTTTTCCTGATGGCCCTAACCTTCTTTGTATCCAAGACCATCTTCTGTGGCCCCTGTGAAGCTTGGAGGTGTCATGGTACATATATATTCATCACTATGGTCTTCTCAATTATTATCTGGGTAGTATGGATTACCATGCTCTTAAGAGGTAACCCCCAACTACAACAGCAGCCCAGATGGGATGATCCTGTCATCTGTATTGCCCTGGTCACCAATGCCTGGGTCTTCTTGCTGACATACATCGTCCCTGAGTTCTATGATCTCTACCGTTCATGTCAGCAGGATAGGGTCTTCCAAGCTCCAACCTTCCAGCAGAGCTTCAAACTGGAGACCCAAGATGTTTCTCGAGGTAAATAACATATAGACCTTTGTACAGTGGGGAGAGGGGAAGGTGGTAGAGTGTAACAAGCTGGTTGATTTTAAGAAACAGGCAGACTTGAGGTGAGTTTTAGGAGAAAAAGTGATTCAGCAGTGCAGGCATAGAAATGGAGATGCTTGGGATTATTTAATAAATGTAAACCAAAAAAAATAAATTCTTTCAAAATATAAAATATCATATGGAAGAACCAAAAAGGAAATGAATCATTGATGCCAAATGAGGACAGTTTGATTTTGAGTGTATGTGGATAGTTATTTAAAGCAGATAGTCTTACCAGATGTCAAATCAAGATTGAACTGTGCAACTGTTGTGATGTAGAATGGTAAGCCAGCTGCTTTGGCTATTAAATGCAAACATCAACCTAGAAATAACTCAAAGTGAATTGACCCAAATAAAACATATTACACCTATGTTGGTTGTGAGTTTTACACAACTAGTTTTAAATATACCTTTATTAAAGTCACAAGATCCAGAGGCTTCTATAGATCTGATCTTTTGAAATGGAGTTTGTGAGAAAGCAATTGACATTTCAAACCCTGTAAATTTTTCCTAAGAGGAAAGAAGAAATTTTAAACCAGAGTCCCCGCATAAAAATTCTAATAAGTGAGTAAGTTAACCCAGTAAGGTTACTGGGGAAAAAAATAATTTGTTTGGGTCACATTTTCTTTCTATTCCAGAGGATGTTACTGTCCTTTGATTTAAGACCAAGTTCCCGGTTTGCCTTTTTCTGAGAGACAAGTCCAGAAATGTGGTACAGTGGAAAGAATACTGACTCTGAAGTCTAAGGGCCTGAGTTCAAATCCCACCCCCTATGTTTTTCTGCCTATTGCACCTTAGACAAATCACATAACCCACTTGAGCCTCAGAATTTTTACCTTTAAAGTTAAGGTTATTGGACTGGATGATTTTTGAAAGAACTTGGACCCACTAGCAAGACTGCTTAAGATATTCCAGTTCATAGAAATCCTGAAGCCCTGCAGCTTCTTTGGGAATTTGGGGGCTGATTATGTATAGTATAAAGTGCTACCACTTAGCCCCAACTTTCATTTCTCAATGAGAAATTCATTTTTACAGGTAAGTTTATAGAATGTAAGCCTCCAAGACATGTAATTTAATTACTTAATATCTTGTACAGCTCAAGGTATACTCATCACACTCAAACAATGACTGATAAAATCTTCCCTTGAACACATGGAGGCACCAATTTGTGAAATTGTAGGTGATGCTTCCTAAAAATTGTTTTAAATCCATGGCTAATTATAAATATAACTTCAAAATAAGCTCTATTCATACTTGTCTATTAATTAGTATCAAGTCGATTTAATAAGCCTCCAACATTATTACTATACATTACTCATTTATAGTGTAACTACAGTAAAACAAACTAGAAAAAGAGCTTTGCTATGTCCAAGTACAACAGCAACAAAACAAATCTGAAGTTCATGATGGATAAGCTGATGATGAGAATGCAGCATAGCATTGACTTGTTTGCTTTTGCTTTCTTAAAAAGCAAACACTTGAATGGGAATGTAGCACATGATAACAGATGATTCTCCCATTGTGTCAATCCCACACAAGACTACCCTGTCTAGTTTTAGGATCTACTAATGAGACATATGGGAAACTTGGAGAGAGTTTAAAGGAAATCATAAAGATGAATAAGGGGTTGGAACAGGAAACCTGTGAAGAATGGTTAAGGCAATAAATCTTGGAATGGGAATCTTGAGCAACACAGGCTGCTTTCAAAGGAAGTCTGCTTCTCAAAATCTTTCATTTCTAAATTAAGATTTTATTATGTTTAAGATAGACAGACAGACAGACAGAGAATTTACTAAGTATTCAATATGTTCTAGGAACCAAGTTAAATGCTAGGGCTAACTATAAATAAAACAATCTCTCCCCTTAAGGAGCTTGTAGTCTAATGAGGGAAGACCACAACATAAAAGAAGTGCCGGAAAGATAGTGGGGATGGGGAAGGGAAGGAGGAATGCCAAAAACTGTAAGAAGTGGTCTGGCAGCCTGGTTCCTAGCTAGAGAAGGCAAAAGGCTTTCCTATCAGGCCAGGGGAGTCAGGAATGGTTTCCGAGTTTCTGGATAGATTGAGACAGTCTGAGTCCATGGTGGAGATACTGCAGGAAGTGTCATGGTGTCCTGGTTCCAGAACATACTCTAGTAGTTTAGAAGTCAGATAAACTGAGATTTAAATTGTTCATACAAAGCACAAACCCCTTTGGATAACATAATGAACAATCTCGTGATTCCCAAAACAATTTTCTTCACAGCTAGGTGAAAACCATCTGACACATTACCACACAGCCGTGTTTGTTCTTGTAACCCTCAAAATAGATTTCTCCCTCAGAAAGATACCTTCTCCTGTTGTGTATTCTTTCTTCTCTCTGGATTTTTGTGACACTGCTTTCTCTCTTGATTCTCCTCTTACCTGTCGTACCGTAGCTTCTCAATTTCCTTTGCTACACCTTCATCCGTGTCAAGCCCCCTAACAGTGGGCATCCTCCAGAGCTCAGTCTTGTTCTTTTCTATCTCCTTTGATGATATCATCAGCTCCCATGGGTTGAAATAAGATCTTTTTGCAGATGATTCCCATATGTATCTATCCAGCCCTACACTATCTTCTGAGCCTCAATCCTACATCTCCAACTGCATTTTGGACATTTCAAACCAGATATCCTATAGTCTCCTCAAACTCAACATGTCCAATATAGAAATTAGCTACCCCACCTCCCCTGGTCTGCCTTTCTTCAAATCTTTCCTCTCCACCATCCCACCAGATTCACAGGCTCACAACCTCAGCGTACTCAATTACTCACTGTCACTCATCCCACATAGCAAATCTGTTGACAAATATTGCCATTTCTTCCTTTTCAACATCTCTCCTATGGGTCCCCCTTCTCTCCACTCACAAAGCCATCATCGTAGTTGAGGCCTTATCACCTCTCACTTGAACTATTACAATAGCCTTCTAATGGGTCTCCCTACCTTGAATCTTCCCACTCCAATCCAATTAAACTCCACACAATTGCCAAAATGATTTTTCTATCTAGAGGTCTGACCATGTTACCCAACCTGCTCAGTAAAGTCCAGTGGTTCCCTACAACCTCCAGGATTCCAATTAAAGTCCTCTGACATTTAAAACTCTTCACAGCCCTACTCCTTCCTACATTTCCACTCTCTTCACACTCTACCCCCCATCCATGCACTTTATGGTCCAGCCACACCAACCTACTTGCTGTCCCATCTCTGTGTCTTTGCATTGGTCGTCCCCCAGGCTTATAATGTCTCTCCACATCTCTACCTCTTGACATCCCAGGTTTATATCAAGACTTAGCTCAAAGCTCATCTTTTCTTGAAGCCTTTGCCCTGACCCAGACACTTTGGTTTTCCCTTTTGAAGTTACTTTCCTTCTATCCTGGATGTATCTTATATATACTTATTCATTTACCTTCCGTCTTTTCCATTACTCTTTGAAGGCAAGGATTTGCCTTTCTTTTGATTTAGCACAGTGCCTGGCACATAGTAAGTGCTGAATAAACATTGTTGATTGACTGATTATCTCTTTGCATGAACCATTATTAATAGGAAGGCTATTTATTAGGACCTTGTAAAATTATTTTTCAAATAATTCAACTTGACATTCAGTCAAGTAACTTTATTAATTTAGTAATGCTAGCATCTATATAGTACTTTAAGGTTTGCAAAACACTTTGCGTGGTTTATCCTATTTGATCTTCACAAAACCTCTTTGAAGTAGTTTCTATTATTATATCCTCATTTTACAGATAAGGTAACTGAGGCTAAGATAAGTGAAATGACTTTCTGCATGATTAGGATGGATTAAGAGCTTTGGGTTTATGAAACAACACAGTAAAAATGCAGGGAGAGGATTGAAGATAAAGCAGGGAAGGGAAGAACTAAAGGAATGAGACATCAGGAAGTTTTGTACCTTTTCTACTAGGGTTAGGTGGAGTCTGACAGTGTAGGATGACTTCTTGTATTTCTTATAATAAACATTTGTTAAATTGAATTGAGTATGAGTTCAAACACCATGAAATGAATCAATATTCATTCATTCAGCATTCAGTAAATATTTATTAAGGGCATTGCAAGGCACTGCTCTAAGTTCTAGGGAAGATCTGTACAAAAATAAGTGAAATCCTTGTTCTCAAGGTGCTTAACATTCCATGCAGTAAATAAGACTAAAGCTTGAACAAGATGAATACATAAAATACATAAAAGGTGTACAAAAATGTTTCATACCAGGATGTAGTTATGGTCTTCACTTAATTTTGAAAGTAGGAAAGTCTCAACTTTTTATAAAGTGGAGCAAAGCTATGATCAGAGTTGAAAGAACAGGGCGGCATGATTCATGGTCTAATCTGATGAAATCTGGTCCTAAATGAAAACTTATTCCCGTGAGACAGTTCCCTCATTGTGAGTCACATATTCAACTTATTTCCTGGGGTTTCAGGGCAAGAATCTGGTACATTATATCATATCTGATAATAGTAAAACTAGTTGCCAAACTCCCCATTGTTGGCAGGAAGGAGTGAACTATATTATCTTTTTCATTTTTTATCTTAATTTTTTAACTTTTTTTATCAGATTTTGAGCTCCAAATTTTCTCTCTTCCTCTCCTCCCTCCCTTCCTTCCCTCCTCCCTAAGACAGTAAGCAATTTGATATAGGTTATGTATGAGTAAACCATATTACCAAAGGGTCATACATCTCAGGTTGGAAGAAACCTCAGAGATCATCTAGTCTAAGTCCACTATTTTACAGATGAGGAAACTGAGACCCAGAGATGTTAAGTGACTTGCCCAAAATCATGCAGAGAGAAATCATTAGAAGAAGAACTTGAATCCAAGTTATCTGACTCCAGGGTCAGTGCTTTTGACCACCTGTTACACGGGTCAGAACCTTTCTTCTTAAGAGAATATTTTGCCAAAGGGACCAAAAAAACTGCCAGTGACCTAACTTTAGCAGCGTTTCTCATTGTTTATTTACAATTTGCCTAGTCGACCACAATAGTTCTCTTGCCTGTATACCAAACTAACTCAATTAAATAAATATTTATAAGTACCTACCAATTCCCCAGGCACCATACTGGACACTGAGAATACAAAACAAACAAACAAAAAAATCCCTAATCTGAAGGCCTTTATGTTCTCCTGGTTGTATGTTGCATCACTGGATGCCCTTATCCTAAATACGAAGTAATAAACCACAAGTATCCTTGCAAATAAGCACATGACATTTCACTTTTTAAAAACTAACTTCTCTTCTTCCCAAGATAAGTATTCATATCTAAAGCACTCTCTTGGCTTGAAGGCTAGAAGAGGCTATTTGTGGATTACTGGGTCTCCTTGTAGTTTAAATATGATATTTTTAGAGTGACTGATGCTAACCCAGTGCCTCTTTGGCTTTCAGCCCGAGACAGTGATGGAGCTGAGGAAGATATAGCACTAACATCATGTGGTACCCCTATTCAACTACAGGTAAATGTGCTCTCCTAATTTCACTAAGAGAAGAGAACTGTTAATTATCAAATGGAGCCTTTACATTTCATATTTGATGTGCTCTACTTATGCAAGAGAGATAAAGGCCACAAGCAGATGAAGAGAAGGCAGAGTCAGACTTTAGGCTTTGTAGATTCAGGGCAATTCCTAGCGGCTACAGAAAGAATAAATCACACATTGTGCACGGTCTTCTTTCCCTTCTCCCAACATTTCTAAGTAGGGAAAATCAAGTTAAATTGTAATTAAACAAAGCTTTGAAGGAGAAAATAAGTTATTAAATGTTGTTAGGGGGAAAGGGATAGTCTCACCCTTTTGCCTTGGTAATGGAGGAAAATTAGTGTTTTATTGAATGTCCATGTTGTTACTGAGTCCTTTCAATATCTGACTCTTTGTGATTCCATTTGGAGTTTTAGCAAAGATACTGGAGTGTTTTTTTCCATTTCCTTCTCCAGTTCATTTTATAGATGAGGAAACTGAGGTAAAAAGGGTTAAGTGACTTGCCAAAGGTCATACAGATAGTGTCTGAGGCCAGATTTAAACTCATGAAGATGAGTTTTCATGACTCCAAGACCAGTACTCTATCTACTGTGCTACCCAGCTGCCCATGTTGAATACACACACACAAACACACACACACACACCCCTACCTAAAAACATGCACATATATGCATACATGCATATACCTCAAGGGATTTATGGTCTTAATTTGATTCTGAAAGTCTCATTTTTTAATAAATTGAAAAACAACAATCAGAAATGAAAGAACTAAAAACTTCTTAGCATCATTTGACTGGAGCCCAGTACTTCTCTCCCACCAGTTGTCTCCTTAAGTCATTGTCCGTCATCTAGCAACCTGTCCTTCCCTCCTTCCAAGACACTGTACTGAAACAATCCTATTAATTTGCTATATATTAGCAAATTTCACTTCAGATAAGGACAGGAGACATAAATGTAATAATAATAACAATAATTATTATTAATAACAATAACAAACTTACATTTATGTAGCAATTTAAGGTTTGCAAAGTGATTTACAAATATTATCTCACTTGATCCTCATAAAAGTATTGAGAGGTAGATTTGTATTATCCCCATTTTGCAGATGAGGAAACTGAGACTAGAGAGATTAAGTGACTTGCCCAGGATCATACAGCTAGTAAGTGTCTAAGGCTGGATTGGAACCTAGTTCTTCCTTACTACAGGTCCAGTGTTTTGTCTACTGTGCCACCTAGCTGCTTCAGGTAGGGAAAATTGGAGGTACCTACTGTCCACCAGAAGACAACCCAACTCCAAAAAGAAAAAAAAAGCCTATGAGGAATATTTCCAGTTGAGGAGATGGGGAGAGGGGGCAATGGAGAAAATCAAGAAGAAGATATAGTGAATTCCCCTTAACTAATAAAGGTGAACTTATCTTTCTGATATATCCATTGGGGACTGGCCTAATTTTACTTTAAAATGACTTTAGCAGCAGGGCTTTGACATTTCATTCCTTGAGAGATGCCCTATTAGTTTCTCACATAGAATAAAGAAAATTTGACTCTCATTCAATCTAATAATTTTTTGACCTAGTTTCCAATTCCATGAATTATCCATTGAAGAAACTTCCCAAAAGATCATTGTCGATAGTTGAGGCAACAGGGAGGAAAGCGAGTAAGGCACATTTGGGAGGGAAATTTGAATCTATCTCCTGCAAAAAAAAAAAAAAAAAAACAACAACAACATGGTAAGTGGAGGCAAAACTGAGAGTTATGTGCAGCATCCCATTCCCCTGTGTTCATCTCTGAAGGCTGATGGTGACATTTATTCCTTTGCAGACTGTTGATCCAGATCAAGAGTACTTCATTCCACGAGTCAAGGTCAACCTTCACCAGGATGCAGGATTATAAAGGCAACAAGAAGTAGCAATGAGAATTTGGAAAGAAAGACAGAACCTACCTAAGCATACAATTAATGGGTTGCAATACAGATGTCAGCATTATAATTGAATTTCTAGAAATCATCATGCAAACAAAGCACCTGCCTCTCCTTGCTTCTTTCCTGATCTATAAGGAGCCCTTCTAACAGCTCTTCATCCAAAAAACCATCTACTTTATTAAAGAAAATTACACTTTGTTGCCTGCTCTATCTTCACTGAGTGTCTCTTTCTTCATTTATTTCAACAAGAAATTCACCTTCCTTAGGAGCATTTCCTGGTGTTGCACTTGACATATGATTGGTAGAATTTAGAACAAGTAGTAAATAAACTTTCTTATTTTACAGATGAGTAAATCAAAGCCTGGACAGGTAAAGTGACTTGACCATATGATCAATAAGTAGCAGAGTCAGAAACCAAACCCAGTTCCTCTGACTTCAAATATAATTCTCTTTCCATTTTGTGAGGTTGCTTTGTATTGGTGGACTCAACAGACCCTTGTCTAAGAGAATTTTCATTCTCTTTATATGGCGGAAAAGGAGGGTCAGATTGCACTAGAGAATTACCTCCTGTCTGCTTTTAACACTATGACCCCTATTTGAAGGAATCATAATTTGTGCTTAAATTTTTAGTGGTCTTTTTATCATTTCATTAGAACTTGGTAACCCAAATTACATTGGCATGAATCTTTAGAGATTCTCCCATAGTGTGACTGGCCAGTACAGCAGCAGACCTAGAATAAGGTCAGTGATTTGTCCAATGAATCAGTAACACCAAAAGCAGAAGCAAGCCAATTTATACTTATAAAGAACTTTTAATAGTGAATATGAAAAGCCTTCTTGGCTTGGTTTTTCTAACGCACATATGCCTTTGAACTAATTATCATGCCTCCATGAAGTTCAACATGTGTCTTGGAGATTTACTGATTTTGTTGAAAATGGCATTTATTTCCTTATTTTTTTCATATTTTCAAAATCCATTTTACTCTGGAACAAAATAATTAATAAAAATAATAATATATCACATTCCTATAGTGCTCTAAGGTTTGCAAAGTGTTTTATATATACTATTTCATAATGCTAAATGTAGCAGTGAACACTAAGGATCAAATGAGATAATTTACCAGATAATTTAATAAATTTAAATTTATTGAGCACTTCCTTAGTGAAAACTCCTTGAAAAAGAAGACAGATATCTATAGATAAAGTGTTATTACTGTTATGACCAACTTAAACTGCAGCACAGATTACTTGGTTGGGTAAAGAATCTCTGGGCAGAACTTTTGTTCATTTTGATTCAACAAATGTCACTGACCACCATATTGTTTTGCTGTGCCAGGCCCTTTGCTAAGTCCTGGAGGGAATATTTTGTGCATAACCTCAGTTGATTCATGATCTCATCGTTCTGGGTACTCTTTCCAATGATGTAGTTCACAACTTGTCCAGGAGTTCTCATCCTGTAGGAGCTTGGACACTTGTTCTCCTACAAATTCTTCTTGATGAGGCAGAGGGGTAAGGAAAGAAAGGTCAGCCCAACATGCTAGAAGATTTCCTCAAAATCTCTTGACATTAAGTCAACACAGCTGTCCATCAGGTACCGATCTCTTGGTATGTGACCAACCACCTCTTTTTCTTGTTAAGTTTTTAATCGATAATATCTTTTAGGCTACTTTTTTTATATAATTTATCAGTAATATGCTGCAGACTATTTATACTAGTTATACCCTATATGTTTCTTCATTGACATATGGGTGACCTGCAGCTTTAACTATTTGCACACTAATATTTCATATTCCACATTCATAGAGTACCACCAAAAGATTTGGGGAGTTTCTTTGAGGGGGGAGAGGGAGATTTGGTGATTCCCACAGTATAAGGAATTCTCAGTATATAACCTCCCTCCATAATTGCAGGACAGAAATTTCTCTATGACCACAAGTGTTAGAGAGTTGCCTGGGGCATTGAAAGGTTAAAGGACTTGCCCGTGGCCTCGTTACTAGTATGTATAATATATGAGGCACAAATTGGACCCAAGTATTCCTGATTTCAAGATTATTCTCTATCCACAATGCCAAGTTGTATCTATATCAGAAGAATATCAGTTTATAAAAATGGTGGACCTTTGTTGCAGGAAGATTCTTAAAATTCCTAAAGGCACAATTCAGTTTTCCAAATGCAATCACCTCACTGTTCTCCTCCTATTGAATTCTGGCTACAGTCCACTCTAGTATCTTTGCCAGGAAAACCCCAAATAGGGTCACAAAGAGTCGCACGTGACTGAGCAACAACAACAACAATTCATTTCCTAGCCAATTTCAATCAATCAACAAGTATTTATTAAGTATCTACTATATCCCAGGCACCATAAAATGTGTGTCTGTATGGATGTGTGTCTATGTATATGTATGGAGACAAGGAGAGAAGAAGGGGAGGGGGCTTGAGGAGAAAAAGGAAGAATTGGAACTGTTGTGGAAGATAAAACAGAGAATGAATTAAAGAGGCATACAGTGAGGGCCCAGTTGTGATTAGATAACAAAAAATTCGTAGTGGGCCCAGTTAGCAAAGTTGTGTTACTTCCTCTACTTTCATTCAGCAGAACATGAGTAGTGGACATTATCTTATTATACAGAATTGGGATTTAGCAAAACAAGAATGAGGAAAGAATAATGGGGCAAGGATTTCTGAGAGCAGAGAACAGTAGAGTATTGTTTGTTAGTATAGGTTAACTGTAGTTTTGAGATTGGGGAGTAAGGCCAGAGCATGGTCGAAGCTCTGGGAAAGTATGAAAGGATAGATATATTGGAGGTCTATAGTCATATAGACCTGCTAGGTGCTTTACAAATGTTATTTCATTTGGGGGCAGCTAGGTGGTGTAGTGGATAGAGAACTGGCCCTAGAGTCAGGAGGACCTGAGTTCAAATCCAGCTCCAGACACATGATACTCACTAGTTGTGTGACCCAGGGCAAGTCACTTAACCCCAATTGCCTTGCCCAAAAAAAAAAAATGTCATCTCATTTGATCCTCACAACAACCCTAGGAGGTGGGTGCTATTATAATCCTTATTTTTAAAGGAGGAAACTGAGGCAAACAGGGGTTAAGTGACTTGCCCAAGATCACATAGCGAGTAAAAGTCTGAGGCCAGATTGAATTGAGGTCTTCTGAACACTGACGAACACAACGAATAGAATACTCCTTATGCATTGTCATCTTAGGATGCTTTAGTGCAGGTGGTTTCACACTGGGGTCTCACCTTACAGTTTCATAGAGTTGTCTTGAAAATAACAAAACTATCTCTATAAAAATTGTATAACTTCCACTGTGAGTGAGGTTTTTTGTTTTGTTTTGTTTTATTATACCATATGAACCTTAACTTTTCCCTAATTCAGATGGGTATTTGTTCTCCCTAATAATGTGTAGGAAAAGGTCTATCTCTAATTCCAAAAAGTTTTCTTCTCAGTTAAAAAAAAAATAACTATGAAGACAAGGTCTTTTATGGCCAACATGTACATGGACTTCAAGAATGAAGACAGAAAATGGGCAGAAAATGCTGTCACTGGGGCTGAACAAGTGCTTTGTCCCTGTCCTAACTTATTCACAGCAGGTTTCTGGTCAGGGGCAAAATTTGAGTTACAAAGTTCATAGAATATTCTTGCCAGCAGGACCCTCAGAGTTGATTTACTTTGACTCCTTCATTGCCTGTAAGGGCAGAAGAGAGGCAATATGGGTTATTGGATAGACTGTGGGTTCAGATCCTACTTTTGATACATCCTAACTGTGGGAAAATGGACAAGTCACTTAACTTCACAGTTCTTCAAGTGACTCTTCAGACTGTAAGTTACAAAGTTGTCCTCCAGCTTCTGATGAAGAAGTTTCCATTTCAGAGATTACTTGCATTGATGAAGTCAGAGATTAGAATAAAAAAGAAAAAAGAAAAAAGAAAAAAAGAAAAGGAAATGATGCACATGGAAAGTTCAAACTATTTAATTCTATGTCCAATTCTATGCTCTCCGTAGTGATGACATTCTTCAAATCACATATTTCAAAAGGAATAATTCATGAGAGTATAGTAGCAAAAAAGGCAAAATCTAGAAAAGTAATCTATAAATACTACTCCCCACATGGAGTTGGTTGCCAAGTTTTCTGCATCCTCCTTCCAAAATCTCTCTGAATCCATCACTTTCTTTCTATTTTTGTTGCTACCTCTCTCATCATTTACATACTTGGACAATTGCCACCATGTTCTAACCATTTTCCTCACCTCTAGTCTCTACCGCTTCCAATCCACCCTTCACATCCTTGCCAAGATTAATTTTATGCAGAGATCTTACCTCGGTATTTCTCTGCTCAAGGTCCTTCAATGGTTCCTGGTTGACTGTGGGACAAGAGCTAAGCCCCAAAATCTAACATCAAAGCTACAACTAGGGATAAGCAAAGTAGGCTGCTGCCTAGGGTACAGAATGGTAGTGACAGCAGTGTATGCATGCAGCAAAGGACAATTTTTCAATATTACTTTTTTCCATCTATATGTATGTAAGCTCCTTGAGGGTAGCTACTATCTTTTGCCTCTTTTTGTATCCCTAGTACTTCACACAGTACCTGGCACATTTGTTGTTGTTCAGTCATTCAACTGAATCCAACTTTTCATGACACCATGAGCCATGCTGTCCGTGGGTTTTTGTTGTTGTTGTTGTTGTTGTTGGGTTGTTGTTTTGTTGTTTTTTTTTCTGGCAAAAATATTGGAGTGGTTTGCCATTTCCTTCTCCAGTAGATTAAGGCAAACAGAGGTTAAGTGACTTGCCCAGGGTCTCACAGTTCGTAAGTGTCTGACGCCAAATTTGAACCTGGCACATAATAAGCACCTACTAATTGTTTATTGATTGATATACCAAATATTCTTTTGGAATTATGTACCAAATATTCTATTATCTAGTCAAATAGAATTACTTCCATTTCCCATATATGTCCCACACTTTTCTGTCTTTGCCTCTGCCTTTGTTCATCCCATTCCCTATGCCTAGAATGTCCTCTCATCTCAAATCAAGGACCAAGGTGCCTTCAAGGACTTATTTGAAAGTTACTCTTTCTAAGAAGTCTTCTCTCACTTTCCCAATTTGTGGCATGAGAATAGAGTGATGGATTCATGAGTCAAGAAGATCTTGACTTTGACATTTACAAGTTATGTGACCAATGTAAATATAA